ACATCGGAAAAATGCTTCTAAACATTGGCTTCAGCAAGGATTTTATGACCAAGAACCCAAAAGCAAATGCAATAAAAACAAAGATAAATAGCTGGGACTTAAACTAAAGAGCTTTTGCATGGCAAAAGGAACAGTCAACAGGGTAAACAGACAACCCACAGCTGGGAGAAAATCTTCTATACATCTGACAAAGGACAAAGAAAATCTATACATCTGACAAAGGACTAATTTCCAGAATCTGCAATGAACTCAAACAAATTAGCAAGAAAAAAAACAAATAATTCCATCAAAAAGTGGGCAGAAGACATGACTAGACAATTTTCAAAAGAAGATATACAAATGGCCAACAAACACGAAAAAATGCTCAGCATCACTAATGATAAGGGAAATGCAAATCAAAACCACAATGCGATACCACCTTACTCCTGCAAGAATGGCCATAATCAAAAAATCAAAAAATAATAGATGTTGTTATGGAAGCAGTGAAAAGGCAACACTTCTACACTGCTGGTAGGAACGTAAACTACTACAGTCACTATGGAGCTTCATGGTAGTTTTGATACCAGGACAAACCAACTTCCTTTTCTTTAAATTTTAGAATGACACTGACCTTTTAATGTCTTATCACTGCGGAGAAAGCAGTAAGTCAGGGCCCCACCTAATTCCAAAAATGATGCTTTGGAAAAAGACAAAAAGGTGATACAAAAAATCCCTTTATATTGAGAAATCTGGTGAGATACTTTTAAAAATTTTCACATGATATGGTTTTGGAAGTATATGATTTAGGCCTGCTTTTGAATATGATATGAAATCAATCATGTAACTTCGGAAAATGTTAAAACTAAAATCACAGCAGATTTTAAAGAGCATGTCATTGTCAGAATAAATGATAAAAGTTGGCATATAAATTACTTCAGGAGTCAGCAAATGGTACATGGGCCAAATCTTCCCACTTTCTGTCTCTGCATGGCTCATGAGCTAAAAATGGATCTTGAATTTGTAAATGGTTGGGGCAAAAATCAAAAGAATAATATTTCGTGACATGTGGAAATTATATAAAATTCAAGATTCAGTGTTCAAAAATAAAGTCTTATTGAAACACAACCACACTAATTTATTTGCATAATGTCTATGGCAAGTTTTGAGCTACAAGGACAAAGTTAAGTAGCTGTGGCAGAAACTGTATAGCCCATGAGGTCTAAAATATTTACTATACAGAGGTTAATGAAAAGACTTTGTTGACTCCTGATGATCCTACATTTAGAAATATATTTGTTCCTACATTTAGAAAAATACATTTATGTCAATATGAACAAAATAATAATGTTGTATAATATTTCATGTACAGTTTTCTTTTTAGTCTAACCATGAGTATTTACCTTCAAATTAGCTACTTAAATAACCAGTAGTCAACTACTGTAAAACCGATATTTTTAATTCTTTAGTTATATAGAGACTTGTGTAAGAGTAATGTAAATATAATCTTATATATGGTAGGCAACTTGTTTAATTTTTCCAAAGCATAAAAATAATCACTAGAAGATATGTCCCTTTCCCTTTCTCTGACTCTAGCCTGTGTCTTTTATAGTAAATTGTATTTTAGGACATCAGGAAAGTTTAATACATAATATATGCTTGGAAAATAAGAGGATTCTATTTTATATATAAACAAATTTAGATGATTAAAAGAGATTGTTAGTAGCATTTTAATGGACTAGAAATGTATATTCAACCATGTACTACTATAAAGGTATATCATGAGCTGTGAAAACTATGGTTACATTTGCAAAGATTAAAAGTGGATGGGGATGCCACTGTTAATAAGAAAATGGTGGAGAGATAGAAAAAATAATCTAAGCTGTTTCAAAACCTCTCCTCTTTTTGCTTTTGTTTTTCCAAATTCACTTTACCTGAAAGGAAAGATTGACTAGAACATTTTATGAAAATGTTCCCTATTTTACTTATATAAAAATAACCATGAAAAGGTTTTGATATAATTATTTGGATAGATTTTTATGTGGCTTATGATGTATATTGAGTCCTGATATAACATTAGTCATTTGCATGGTTCATTAGAATTAAGCACTATTTAACATATAGGTCTGAAAAATGAAGTGGCCCCTAAAATGAAATCTATGAACAAAGAGAAAAAGGTAAAAATGGAAAAAAACACTGAGTCAGCCAGGGCACAAAATTTCCATATGTCTAAGCATCCATCCCCTTGAGATAAATGCCACTAAGTCAAACAGTGTTTAGGTTCTTCCTGAACAATTGTACTCCCACAGAAGACCTCATCTGTGTTTTTCTGAAGTGAAGAGAGGGGGCAATGTTGGGCCTCCAGGTATCATCCTAACGAAATATGTGTAACATGCCCAAAAGACTAGCCCCAATCTGACTCTAGGGTTCAGATCTTTTAATACCACACAGCCCCTGTCCAAACTGAAACAGCTTCTCTTTGGTACCTCCTCCCCTAAGGTATTTCCAAGGCTGGAAGTTTCTCTTTCCTTTTCTCATAGCCTCCTAAGAGGCAAGCAGAAAAGAAGTATGTGGGATGGATGTGTATGTGGCAAGTGTGGGAAAGGAGATGTCTAATTATTTTTGGTTCAACTTTTCTCTTAGTTAGGAAGACAAGCATAATGACCTGACTCTGTCATTTTGGCTGGTGCCAAGTTATCATCTGACTCTTGATATGTTCATGATTAAAAGTAAAAGCAAACTAATTTTCTAGACTCTAAATCTAAGTATGGAGTTGGTTCTGTTTTCAAGGGCAAAGAAACATCTTCAGAAAAAAATCCCCAATCTTTCTGCTTCTTATATTTATTTTTCATAACATACTGTAAAGATTAGCTAATCACAAAACCAATCACAATATCTTTTACAATACCACAAAGGTATATATTTTTAAATTATTATCAGAAAGTATGGCTATGTGGAATTAAAAACCAGAATTTTTAGAAATAATACTAAATTCAGACATTTATGGAAACATTTCATTTAAACAACTGGCTCTTCAGTGGGCTCTCCTTAACCTATTTTCTCAGTTGTTTAGTTCTTAAAGTATATGCATGGAGACTAAACTACTGGATTTGATTTTGTCTTTGGCGGGATTTTAGCCTCCTATTTATCATGTGCCTGTGTTAGAAATCATACTAGATATTTTAAAAATCTGTGTTTAAAGGTTTACTAAGGAAAATGTGGTATCAGTAGTGCCTGTGGGTGCTCAATAACTGTGTGATTGAATGGATGTTCATTAAACAAAATCTCAATTCTATTATAATAATTTAGTTTCATTATTTTATTTTTATTTTTATTTTTGTTTTGGGAGCAGAGGTTGATTAAAGAGGATTAAATATGGTAAAACATTACAAAAGTGCATTTTTAAAACATCAGAACTATTATGTGTCAGTAACAACATCTACATATAAGAAAATGTTTAATGTTTAATATTGGAATCACACAGTAACCCATTAAATATCAAATCTAATGTCTTCCTCCTTGAGAGTGATATGTAGAGCCTAATAATTTACACTTAGTCTAAATGGAAATTTATTGTGAATGATATGCAACCAAAAGTCATCATGAAATTTCATGAAGAATATAATTATAAAATGATTAGAAAGTGATGGTGAGTTTTAGCTATGATTAAGAGACACCCAGACTTCCCTTTCCTCACTTGATTTAGATTCATTGAAAGGATGTTGTCGGGGGCTAACCAAGAACAACCAAATCGTTACAATATATGTGTTTCTTCAGCTCCTTTTTATTACACTAAAAACGTAAAGTTTACTAAATTAGGCAATTCATAGTCAAAGGCAGTCAAGCCTCACATGATTCCATAAGCATGGGCTTGAGAACCTCTGCATAGAACAGGATTGCATTTATGTGCTATGATTTTCCTTCAATTGAATGTTTCTTTGTTTCGATTTTTGAATGTTCCCTTTTTGATCTTTTATATCGATGTATCTTGACCATATAAGGTTGCTTTTATAAGAGCAGATTTGGTGTGGAAATTGCTTTGGAAAAATGTTTCACTCTATCGCAAGTTCAGTGGTCTCATGTTGATTGATAGAGTCATAAATTCAAAAGCATGATATAGAACATAATTTATTTAATACTTTAGTGCTTTAATATAAAAGATGACTGGCTTGAATATGCAAAGAATTTAACATTTCTTACGTAAGATATTCAGAAAATGTTAACCTAGTTCCATTTGTTTTCAAGACTCGTGACCACTCATATCAGGCCATTCTCACCTTAAGAGATCCAGAATACAAGAGCTGCTGAAAATTGTGGAAGTCCTACTTAGGAGCCCATGTGATATATAGTTTGTCAAAAAACATTTTATCAAAAGGGAAATAGATAAGGAAACTGACAATTTAACTTTCTCTCTCTAAATATGCTCTGAAATTCATATACAGTCCAACATTTTTGGGAGGTTTGTTTAGCTGACTTAACAGTTGTCAAAATTCATAGCAGGGTAACATGACTCATAAATTATGCTATCTGTTAAAAACTGAATTCATGCCTAAAGAAATATAGTCGGTGAAGCATGTGCAAGTTTCAATAGTGCATCTCATTAATGATGAGATGATATTGTGGCCAAAAGTAGGAATTCTCTTGAGATACCAACTGAATTTTCTTTGTCATCAGTCTCCCTCATAACCTCTGGTGGTTTATTACCAAGTGGAAAACAAGTCTGCAAAATGTCAATGTCACCAAACTGTAACAATGATCTATAATTTTGATAAATAAGGTTGATATAATGGGTATATTGTTAAAAATCAACTACAAGTTAATATATAAATATACTCTACGTAAAATTATCTGATGAATAAATACCATCATTAAGTAGTATTGGGAACATGATCCATTATGATATCATCACATTTCTGTCCTAGTTGACATTCAATGGTGTTTGTAGATAACAGTTGTAAAAGCTCATTAAAAACTGAAAGTATTTCCAAACATTTCTACATTTGTTCCTTTTTCTTGATTTCTAGAGAATGCTCCAAAGTTTAGGAGAAGATGGAAGAACTGGGGAGTAGGAGACAGCAACAAAGACATCCCGGAAAGACCGGAAAGGACTGGCTAGAGAATTGCAATCATCATGGATGACCGAGGTGGACATGCCTAAAGTTATGGAGAAAAATACTTAGAAGAACTTTTAGAGAGGTAAATTACAGTGCATGGTAATTCAGATACAGCAGAAAAGTTAATGTCTGAGAAGTTTCTCTATAGCAAGGGTACTTGACAGCAATGGTGCTAATGTACATCCCATTTTTTCTTTTTCTTTTTTTTCTTGCCTATAAAGCTCCTGCCTACAGAAAGAGAATAATTCAACAAGTAGTGTAGCCTACAATTTACCAAGAAGAATTGGCAGAGCAAAGACATAAGCCTCACCAAAATGATGACATTATTCACATTAACACATAACGGCTCTGTGTGTTATTATCAAACAACCTATCTCTAATGAAAGTGATGCTTATTGATAAAAACTAAATTAGTAAGCCAACATACTAGTTTGTGTTTCAAGCAAACTTTATAAAACTTTTATTTGGTCAAAGCTAGTATAAATGTTCTTATCTAAGTCAAAGAATGTTAGAATTACAAATAAAAATCCCTATCTTAAGTAAAAAATGTTTAACTGAATTAGTATTATTTAAATATTTATTGCTCGCAATTTTACAGGAATGATTCTCAAGCATCTACAATTGCATTACATCACTGTACCAAAGTTAGCTTTTTGTCATATTTTTAAAATTCTGCCTTTGAAAATACTTGAATTTCAAGAACATTCCTTGAAACTCCATGTCTTTATGGTAGGCTTTTCAAACAATAACATTAAAAAGTCTATATGTATGTATTGGTATGCTTCATTTAATCACATCTGACCAACTCCAGCACACAAATAAAAAACAAAACTGTTTTAAAGGTATATTAATTAATATTAGTTTCAGCTATGAATACTAGAAAACTTAGATACTATAGCTTTGATAAGTTAGAAGTTTAAACCCCATTAAAAAAGAAGGCAAAGGATATGAACAGACATTTTTCAAAAGAAGACATACATGCAGCCAACAAGCAAATAAAAACAAGCTCAATAGCACTGATCACTAGAGAAATGCAAATCAAAACCATAATGAGATACCATCTCACACCAATCAAAATGGCTATTATTAAAAAGTCAAAAAATAACACATGTTGGCAAGGTTGTGGAGAAAAAGGAACACTTATACACTGTTGGTGGGAGTGTAAATTAGTTCAACCAATGTGGAAAGCAGTATGGCAATTCCTCAAAGAACTAAAAGCAGAGCTACCATTCGACCCAGTAATCCCACTGCTGTATATATACCCAGAGTAACATAAATCATTGTACCAAAAAGACACATCATGCGAATGTTCATTGCAGCACTATTCACAATAGCAAAGACATGGAGTCAACCTAAATGCCCATCAATGACAGATTGGATAAAGAAAATGTGATATGTATACACCATGGATTATTATGCAGCTATAAGAAAGAACAAGATCATGTCTTTTGTGGGAAAATGGATGGAGCTGGGTGCCATTATCCTTAGCAAACTAACACAAGAACTGAAATCAAAATACTGCATGTTCTCACTTATGAGTGGGAGCTAAATGATCAAAACTCATTAATACAAAAAAACACAACAGACAGTGGGGTCTACATGAGGATGAGGGGTAGGACGGGGATAACTCTTGGGTACCAGGCCTAATACCTGGGTGATGAAATAATCTGTACAACCAATGCCTGTGACACAAGTTCACTTATGTAACACAGCATCAGATGTACCCCCAAACCTAAAATAAAAGTTTAAAATTAATAAATAAAAAATAAAAATAAACAAGTTAGAAGTTTAGTTTCCCTCTGGAATTTCACAGTTTCAGGGCAAGCAGAACAGCCTGCAATGCCCTTTGTAGTCCTACAAAGCTGACAAAGGATCTCTGAAAAGTCTTCAGACACTGGGACTTGTTCCACTTTTCTCTTCTGTTATTTCTAGGATACAGCCCTCACAATCATACTCTAAGATGATAATCCAGCCATCACATCTATGTTCCAAACCGCGGGATGGAAAAGACGAAGACCAAAGGACAAAGGTGTGCACCAGCTGTTTCTGAGGGGATACTTCTAGAAACTGCACAAATCACTTCCATTTATACCCCATTGGCTAGAACCCAATCACCAGCCCTCACCTAGTGGTAAGGGAGAATGGAAAATACAGTTTTTGTTTTGAAGGCTTCATCCCTTGAAAAAATTTCTATTTCTATGGAAGAGGCAAGAGATACTGAAGAACACCTAGGTTAGAATGACTTTTCCCATATTTCCGAGTAAGGGTTTTGCCCTTTTGATAAGACCATGGTTTCCTCGCTCTAAAATGCAGTTTCATGCAGAAATAGGAGCATCAGATTGCTGAGTTGGATAAAGAAGTTGCACAAGAAGATAAAAAAAAAAAAAAAGATAAAATTAGCCTGACATCCTGTTTTAAACCAAAGCAGCTCAACTGGTATTTTTTGCTTGAGGGGAAGTTGGACTACAGTCAATACTGAATTACCTTTGATCCATGGAAAACTTGTCCTTCACTCAAGGCACATATTTGACAGCTTTTAACCTAAGTTTTGAAACCACACTCCACTATTCTATATGTAAGAGTCTTCCCCGTTGGCAAATTCCTTCCTTCGAGAACAGCATTAAGGTGAGCATGAGAAGAGGATGTTCAGGTGTGGAGATTTGGAGGGCTAAAGCCTTGGATGTCATTCACTGATGCATTGTTAAGGTTAAGGCCTAATGAGAAGACAACTGTTGAGCAATTAAATCAGCTATTTTTAGATTGTGCTACATATATCAAAGGCTGAAGTCTATCTAACCTTTGGGATAATTATCAAAACTCATTCACCAGCTTCTCTTTCTTCCTGACAGCTACCAGGCCTTTATCACTGATTTACACTGTCATATGCAGGTTTAAAACACCAGGGAAAATTTCCTTCCTTTTATGCAGCATATGATTTCCAACTATTCAGCCCTAAGTCTGTATTCAGTTTACAGTGTTATTTCATTAAATCTCACCAGTGACTTCTATATGGTGTTCATATTCAGCAACAAGTAGCTTTAATATTTGATGACATCTAGGTAGAGAGGAGGAGAAACTGTATATTTATAGTACCTTTCTTCTCGCCTTCACTTTCCGCTATGGTAACAAAGGCCAGGGTGGCTATTTTTCTTATTATTTTCCCATTCTGACTGTGAGCAAAGTATCAGAATCTGCAACTTGAATTTAAAGACATTAAACTACTTCCTAAGGATACCCAAAGAATGTCTAAGAAAAACCAAAAGCTCCATGAATCTGGTAAGGGCTGCCTAACAACACACAATCTGATGAAACTCAAAAGGGCAAATATTCAGAAAACAGAATGGATTCTAAGTACAAACAAGCAAATAAAGTATTTTCTTGAAAGATTGAAAACCGTATCTATGACTTATCTCCAAGACTGGTTGGCAAAGTAAAAGAGTTTTACCTACTCACAAGCAAAATATAAATTGAAAGGTTAAACAAAAATCCGTAAAATAAGAAAAATAACATAGACAGGGTACCCAACATGACTGAACTCAAGTACATAGTTTCATCTGCACTAACAATTCGCATCAAGAAGGGTGGGGTTGGTTAGAAACATGATAAAACTTCCTGCTTGTTGATATTTTACTTCGTCCCAGATGAAACATTTATTTTCCTTTAAAGTCATGTATCCTATCCATAATCTCAGGATGCTATTGAAGTATTTATTAAGAATTCAATACACTCCAGGATAAACCCTGATATACCGTACTCTTTCCTGTTTGTTTCCCTTCTTCCCACGGTCGTATCATGTATCTTTTTACAGTAATCCCAAATATATATCATTTCTCCCTTTACCTACAAGACTTAAAAGGTATATAATGGTGACTAAAATATTGCATTTCTTTTCATTGTTGCTTAACTAGATTTTACGTATGAAATTATGTGCTTTTTCTCATGAATCAATACTTTCCGTCTGTTTATAAAATCAATAGCAGTGTTTAATTATTAAATATATTAAGGCAATCTTGAAGTTGTATAATTTAACACTACTTCCATAAGAAACCAATATCGGCTACTGCATCATGCTTTTCAGGGACCTGAGTTTTATAGTAGTGACTGCCTGAAAACATTATGCCAGGTTAATAATGTTCGGGGCTTTTTCCTGAGGCAATTTAAAATGAGAACATTTATTTTTATTCTCCCTAGTGGAGCCAGAGTTACATTAGGCATACAGCTGTAACCTTTTATTCTCTCTTATCCTGACAGGCAGGGTGACAGTGGTTACTCTCCTCCCAAGTAAACTACATTTGATTATAAACTAATGAGATGATGAAGGCTTACTCCTCAACACCTTTCTGTCATGTAGCATCAACTTGGTATGTCCTGATGAGCCAAAAGTTAGCTGGGGAAGAAAAATACACCTTGGGGAACAACCAAACAAAAAATAATTTCCAACGTACACAACCTCCTTGAAATAACAAAAGTAGTCAAATTTTCTTTCCAAAACAAACAAAAAAAAAGGAAACAAAAAAAATATGTAACTTATCTAAGGAAGAAAGGCATTTCAAATACTTTATTTAACTTTTACTTTCATTACTTATTTATTTCATTTTTAAATAGATAATGATAAAAACTTATGCCTACTTTGAAGGACTGCTGTGAGAATTAAGTAAGATCAAACATTGAAGTTCTTTATGAAGGTTAAAGTACTATGTAAACATTAAATTAATATTATTTCATTAAGAATATCATAGCAAGACCTGGCACAGTGGCTCATACCTGTAATCCCAGCACTTCGGGAAGCTGAGGCGGGCGGGTCACAACGTCAAGAGATCAAGATCATCCTGGACAACATGGTGAAACCCTGTCTCTACTAAAAATACAAAAATTTGCTGGGCATGTTGGTGTGTACCTGTAGTCCCAGCTACTCGGGAGGCTGAGACAGGAGAATCGCTTGAACCCAGGAGGTGGAGGTTGTGGTGAGCCGAGATCATGCCACTGCACTCCAGCCTGGTGACAAAGCAAGACTCCATCTCAAAAAAAAAAAGAATATGATAGCAGAAGCTTCTTCTTTTCGCCCATGCAATGAACACAGTAAGTAGTCAATGTATTTTTAAATAATTTGGCGGCAAAAGGGCCTAATTTCCATGCTTTGCTGAGTTTTCCTCTTGCTTCTGGATGACCAACAACGCCCTTTTAGTATTCCTCATGAATGGCTACAAATAATCCCACTTGTCTTTCCCATTACACATAGTTTTATGGTTTCTTTTGTTTGTATTTAGGTTCCCAGGCCATATAAAAGCTTCTCGAAATCAAGAAACGTTATATATCATTTGTATATACCAGTGTATATCATTTGACTGCACGGTATGTACAAAATCAATTCTCATTCTGTCAATAAAAGCTGCTACGCAACATATTTCTTTAACCATATATCTTTATTTCAGAATCCAAACAGTGTAGCAAAAATATAACTAAAGCTATAAAGGATCAGCCCCTTCTTCAGCCTTGATGTGCCATGTTCTTTCTACTTGTGTACT